CATAGTCTGATCCCAACTAGTTTGTAGGTGGGACAACCCACTTGCAGCATGGCTGTGAAACCAGAGCACTCCCACCTCAGGAGAGCTCTGTTTCCCCAAGACTCATGTGGGGGATGAGGACTGGTCTCCCTGGCTTTTCTGCTAAAGCTACTTCACATCACACAAATAATTCCACAAGGTTGTGCCGGGGAAGGGAGAGGATGACTGGAGGAGCCTGCAGCCAGGCCCAGTCCCTCTTCCAGCTCATTATGGTGGTAGAGCCCCCAAAAGACAGAGAGGCTCATTTGTCATCAGAGACAGATGCTGACAAAAAGGTACTTTGAATAACCACACTCAGTAGCAAACAAAACACTGTGGTAGCAAAAATTATTTTAAGACAGCAAACTACATCTTAGCCAGCCTCCTCACCCCTACGCTTCCTGCAGCCTGCAGTGAGCTGCATTTTGGCTATGGGAGCAGCCTGATCTGTGATTTTTCAGGCAGCCTTCAAGTCCTGGGGCTCTTTGGAAGGTAGAAGGTGGTAGACAACTACCTCCCACATGTCCCTCACCAGTTGCAGAGGAATTGCAGAATAGATCTGTGCCACTGCATGTCCCTCTCTGCACGGTCATGGGTGGCAGTCCCCAGTAACACAGGCCATCCTGGGAACACCGTGTTTGCCACGGCCACCCTCCCTGCTCTGCTGGCAGTGGTGGTGAGTCTGCTCCAGGCAGTCACTTTGTCCAGCTAATGCAACGTGTGCTATCCCAGCCAGCTGCCAAAATTGGGGCACATTCACCACATCCCTTTCACTCACCACCTAGCAAGAGTTGTGATGCCCAGGTGACGGGTGCTGAAGAGAAGGGGGTGACACAGCCAGAGCTACCTGCCATCTGTATGACAGGTGCACAGGCTTCTGAGCTGCTGCCCTGCTCCTAGACTTTGCATCTCTTCCTTGCACTCATGCTCTATGAGGAAGACTTTGCTGCTTTGGAGGTACCAGGCTGGTGCTTCATCTCACATGGGGAAGCACCAGTTTAAGTGTGCAGCACCCCAAAGCTGCATGGCAAGCCCTACACCACTGTTGGGAAAGAGGGAAGAGAAACTGGCACTGTGTTCCTGAGCAGCATCTCCCTGGGGAGGTGTTGTCAGTGAGTTATGCATATGCTCCCCTGCTTGTTTGCTGAGAACATACTTTCTCTTTAAAGCCATAGGCTCCAAAGCACCAGCAGCTGCACATGCTTCAGAGCAAGGCCTCTTGGCTTCAATCCAGTCTCAGTACAGACAGGGATTTGGCTTTGTGGCTTAGCAATTGAGCCACTCGTATATTTAATTCAGTATCTATTTAATTGTTATATTTAATTCATTTGGGGTAGGCACCCTGCACTCAGCTATTTAACACTGCCTGCACAGGAGTGGTCCCTTCTTCCTTTCTGTATCCAGAGCAGTTCTGCTTCTGAACAGCCAGCCCTGGACCATGATGTCTCAGCTGGACTCACAGGGCTGAGATGTGTCCCAGGGGCAGCCTGGACCAGACCTTTGCTGGGACACAGGAGCTGAGACACAGCCTTGGGACCAGCTTGCCCAAAGCTGTGCGACTCCCTGGCTGAGAGATTATTTGCTGGTTAACTGGGAAATCCCTGCACTTCAATGCTGTTACTGTGCCAATAAGGGTCTCTAAATGCTGGTCTCGAAAGCAGCATTCACCATCCTCATCACTAGGAGAAAAAAGTTCTGATGTGGGTAGGGCTTAATGATTTCCTCATTAAGGCTCAGAACAAGATGTAATAGCTGTAGTTAAAATTACCCCATCCACCTTCCACCACTCCAGGGAAAGCTATTTTTAACTTCAGGTTGCCCAAGGGATGCTGCACAGAATCACAGAATTGTCAGAGTTAGAAGGGACCTCTAGAGATCATCTAGTCCAACTCCCCTGCTGAAGCAGGATCCCGTAGAGCACATTACTCAGCACTGCATCCAGGCAGGTCTTGAATATCTTCAGAGAAGGGGACTCCACAGCCTCTCTGGGCAGCCTGTCCCAGGGCTCTGTCATCCTCACTGTAAAGAAGTTTTTCCTCATACTTAAATGGAACTTCCTATGATCCAGCTTGTGCCTGTTGCCCCTTGTCCTGTCAGTGGGAACTACTGAAAAGTCTGGCTCCATCCTTCTTGCACCCACACTTTAGATACTTGTAGGCATTAATAATGTCTTCCCTCAGATTTCTCTTCTCCAGGCTCCCAGCTCTCTCAGCCTTTCCTCATAAGAGACATGCTCCAATCTCCTAATAATCTTTGTTGCACGGTGAAGTCTTTTGTGTCATTGCCAATGGCCTTTGCCTGGCAAGAAATTTGGAAAGGTAGAGCCCTCCCTGCTGCCAGCTGGGATCAGACTAGAGCCCAGGGTAGACACCCCTGCAAACTGATCCTTCCAGGGTCCCTAGCTCCTCTTGAAGGGACAGAGGACAGTTCTCTTTGAGGCATCTCTGGGAGTGCAGAGGACCAGATGCCTGGCCAACTCCTCTTCTGCCATGCTTTTGTTCTGTTTAGTTTTCAAACAGACTTGGTGGGCTGAAGCTATTCCAGGAGCTGCAGTGGCACTGTGCAGGCAGGACCTAGAGTGCACTGAGTCACAGACAGTCATGTAAAACCAGAGGGGATTAGCTTTTAATGTGCTTCTCAGGGCAAATCCTGAACGTGTGGGATTGCCAAGATCCCAGCAGAAAAAGTAGCCAGCTTGCTGCCCTCCTGACCACAAATCAGCTACTAAACTCCACCAGCATCAGGAAAATTTGCACAGAAACCTAGGAATGGTTGTGCTGCACAGGAGCATCCTGGCCATTGTATGTGGCCACACAGTCTCCTGTGAATCATGATGCATGGCAGTGGTACTGTCACATCTCCTCCAGCCCCAGCACAGCTTCAGAGCTCCCTGTGGGCATCACACGCAAAAGGGTTCAGAAGCCTCCAGAAGAGATGCTGTGTAGACATGAAGTTATCACTGTTTGGCTCTACCTTTCCAGCTGGAAATGGATGTGGCACTGTTCAGTGTCTGCTACATTTCCTCCGGCACTCTCTGAGCTAAACTGAGACAATTTAGCTGCATGCTCAGTCTTCTCCATATTTAATTTCACTGATGTCAGTATTAAAACCCAGCAGTATGTGTAAAACTGGGAGCTAGCATCCCAAGTGGAATTGCATGGGGGTTTTGTGTCACTTAGTGTCTCGGGGCTAAATTTTTAGACTACAAGAACTTTTACTGTAAAGAGGCTTTTCTCTTTCTGCTGTGTCACCTGCAGCAAACATTTCCCTCTGAGAATTCTGTTCTGCAACGCAAGTTACTCCCTGTGCCTGCTGGGTCTCTTGTGGTTCATGCTCTTACATTTTGTCCCAGAGAGAAGTACACTATTGGAAAAGGAAGCAATACTCCTCCCTGCACCACAAGATGCAGCTACCACTGATAGGACTTTGGAGAAGATCACAATGCCAGTAAGTCTCTCCTCGGACTTTATTTTGGGTTTGTCAGTGACCTGCTGTGTGCCTGTCCAGCTGAATTGCTGCCAACTCTCTCTCTCCAGAGTTCAGTTTCTCTTTCTGCTCCCTGGGAATAATCCACAATAATCCTTTGTAATCTGTGGGAGTCCAGCACAGATGCAGGCTTAAGAGCTGTGAATACACGAAGTCTGAGGGTTACACGTATTTGTCACAAGATGCAGGACACATCTGGTACTCCTATAGAAGTTTTGCACTATCCAACATGGACATTTAAGATCCAAGACTGTAAATCAGCCTCTGCAGAGTATAACAGGCATAAATCTCACCAAGTTAAATAAAAATAACACAAAACAAACCACTAAAAAACATGATATTTGCATATTAACTTTATAAAAATTGAGGGAGCCTCTGAATTTTGTTACCATTCATGTATACATTTATTAAACCAAAGGAATTTGATCATGTCATAGTATGTTACTAAAGCACATGAGATCCCTTCTCTTTGAGTTTGCTGACAATGGTGTTTTAATTATTTGTTTGTTTCTTGCCTTTCAAGCTTAAAAAATTTTAACTCTTTCTGCATTTTCCCATGGAAGTACTCTTCATGGTTCTTTTCTTTCCTTTTCTTACAGTACAAAACAAATGTTTCTCAGACATGTAAACAACCATCATGGAAATGAAACTGCTCTTGAAGTTAACTTTATTGTTATGGACATCCTGTTAGATTTGTATCATGTTAGATGTATTTCAGCTCAGCGACTCCTTCAGTGGAAGTTGTTAATTGTCACCAACACCTGCACTGCAGTAGTGCCCTGGTCAGGGTTCATGCTGTGTGTGCAAGGTGCTGTGCAAACACTTGGTGTGATTTTGAGGTCCCTGGTACAAACGGCATCCACTGCCAGGACTGTAACCCTCTGCCTCCCTCGGCGATCCTCACAAATTCTAGAAGCTGGAGTGAAACCCTTGTCAAGACTAAGTTTGAAGTTGATGTTCAATTACTGTTGAAGAGAAATGTTACTATGGGCCAATGCTGACTCCTGCAGTTTTTTGTGTAAAGCTGCTCACACTCATGGGAATGCTCATATGAGTAAGAAACTCCTGTGGGAAAGGTCTGCAAGATTGAGCCCCTGGGTTGTCAAACTCCTTTGCAAGAAAGCATGCAAGAGAAGCAGCATGGTTCATTTTCTCTAAGGTTTCAATAGTATAATTCTAAGAGAAAAAGGGTCAGTTGCTCAATTTCAGCACCTTGAGCATTCTGATCCCCAATTTAAGGAAGTCTCTGCTCTACCTTGGGATACTGTGACCAGGCCTGGAAAATTCTGCTGCAATACTCTTTGTCATCAGGAGGCAGTGGTTTGCCACTGCAGCACAGAGGGCCTCTGTTTTATGGTGTGAAGGCTGCATCCTAGGCAGGAATTATGAAGATTGTGTTCAGCTGTCAGCAGAAATTATTCTGAAAACACTTCAGAGCAATTGCAGTTTAAATAATCATTTTAACTTGACATTAGAGGTGAAAAAGATTACATTAAATAAACAGCAAAGAACAAATGTCCCTGCACAAACAAAATGCGTTCCTGCCTAGGAAGCATCCCTTGCAAATAACTGCCCTTTAGGTTATGTCAGATATTTAAATGAACCCTTTAGAGCTAAAATACAGTACTCTGAAATGAGGTTAGATGAATTTTAAAACAACTAATGGGAAGTGTGTACAACGTTCTCTTTAACAAATTTCCCACCTGTGAAGCCTAGGAGCACGAGGCCTCAATAGACATAGAGCCGATCTGAAATGGCAGCAGGCATGTGCGTCATGATCTGCATGCGGAGCCACCAGTAGTAATCCATGGGGTGGTAGCGGGTGTAGGGGGTCGTGGAGGTGAGCGCGTGGGCCACGCTCTCGATGACGGGCGAGGTGTCCGTGGAGCCGCTGTTGCAGTACGTCTCCATCTTGCTGACCTGCTCATCGAAGTACTTCCTGCCATAGTCTTTGCGCACTATCTCCGGGAGCTCATCCCACATTTTGTCAGCTATGGCCTTGATGCGCTCAGGGCTGTACAGGTTGGTGGCAGCTATGAAGTTGCCAGGTTCCACGATGCTGACCATCACTCCCTGGGGCTGCATTTCGTACCGCAGGCAGTCGGAGAAGGCTTCCACACCAAACTTGGTGATGCAGTACGGTGACCGGGCAGGACTGCCCATCCGACCCATCATGCTACTGATGTTCACCACACGACCTAGGCAGAGGCCAGGCAAAGCACAGCTGAGCTGTGGGACCCGATCCAAAGCAGATCACCTGACACATACTACCCAACAGATTCCTGAACATGCATCCACCCAGCTCCCTGGCAGACCTGCTTATGCATTGCAGTCCTCGGCAATGGCCTTCAGGAAGGAGAACAAGCCCATTGCTTGTGCTTCCTGGCTCTTTCTACCCAAGGCCATAGGCACATGGTGAAACACAAAGCTCAGTGTTACTGGGAACACAGAAGAGGGTAGAACATTGGTCTAACCGATGATCTAGCTGATGGTCTGGCCAAGGTGGTGGTGATGGTCATAGGCTGGACTTGATGATCTTAAAGGTCTTTTCCAGCCTTGGTAATTCTGTGATTCTGTGATTGCTCAGCAGTGATCAGGGCTGCGCCCAAACAAGAGGAAGCTGCAGTGCAAAATGCCGCTGGCACCAAAGCTGAGCTTGTTTATTTGCCAGTCAAAGGCACAAAATCTAGGAGACCTATGGTTGCTTATAGCATCTGCCTCTTAAAAGGGAATGGATTACTCCTGCACCATAAACAGGCAGAGCAGTCCAGTTCCACTGCAACCTTTTCTAACAGCAGGACTATGGGTCCAGGCAGAGAGCTGGGGCTGTCTCCTTTCCAGAAGCCATCCATTTGGGCTGGGGAGACTGCTGGTAGGATGCTGCAGTTCTCTGCACTTTCTATCAGTGTTCATAGCTGAGTTGGGTTAGAAAGAGAAATTTTGACCATAGAAGTGGATATCTTGCCATGGTCTGCAGCACAGAACTACAAACCCAACACTGTTAATGTCTGTGGATGCCTCAAGAGTAAAAGCATATTATCATTTAGTCAGGTAATTGTTCCCAGTACAGGAAAGCTTCTGCCCCTTTATGCCAAGACCCATGTGAGCTCCAGGTCTGTGTTCCTTTCCTGTACAAACTTTGCTCATAGGTTACAAGCTCTAAAAGTAACAAAGCACACAGCTGACGCCTCCCTGCAAGAAGCACACAGAGCACACTGCTGCTAACCACCCCGCCCAGCACTGGCACAGCTGCATTTTGTATAGAGGGGAGGATTGCTCCTGGTACTGGAATTTATGGTGAGTTGCAGCTTCTGAACAGGTAAAAGAAGGTATGATGGATTAGATCTTATGTGGGATGCTGCAGAAGAAGACGGTACTGATGGAAAAGAGAAACGATTACTGGCTCTCAGGACTGCTGCCTTGCTGTGTAACTCAAAGTGGTTAGGACACCTGACATTTTTGTGTAAGCTGTGGGTCAAATTCTGTCTGTAAAGATATGAAGGTGGCCAATAGTACAGAGAGAAGCATAATAGACCTTTTAGCCTCTAACACAGCAAGATGTGGGGCAGGATGGGGGGCCTGTTCCAGCAAATACCAGTCCGGAGGAGATCACTCACCTTTCGACCTCCGGATGAGAGGGAGGAAAGCTTTGGTGGTTCTAACAGTCCCCCACAGATTCACTTCAGCTACCTCCATGTAGGTGTCCATGCTTGTAAACTCCACTTCCCCGAATGTGGAGATCCCAGCATTGTTAACCAGCCCCCACAAACCTGGAAGACAAAAATCAAGCGTAAAGCTTTCCCTCTGGGACACTAATGAAAGCAGCTTGGAAGAGGCCTTGCTAATAGATTATGGAACCACACAACAGAGCTTTTCATTAAGACCTGTAAAGATGAAAGCCAGACAGAACACAGTCCAGAGCGAACTTCAGCCTCCTGAGCAAATATAACCACAGACAGAATCTGCCTGAACTGCCCAACACTGCAGCCACAAAGTACTGTGAATAAGCCTGCCCAGGAAGATTTGAGCCAGCAAACCGAGAAGTTCAGCTTTGTCTAAACTGTTCTCATCACCATTCTCTTTTCATCTGTTGTGAATTTTTAGAAGAAGCAAAATATAATCTCTAAATGCAAATAATAAGAATAGGAAAGACTTGGTAAGAAATAAGTGAGTAATTCTTTCAATGTAAAATCCCTTGTGTCACCATAAGAACTACAATGTCTGCAATGCTGGGAAGGGGGATGTGGGCATAGGTGGACATGAGTAGGGACAGATGCCACAGCACACTCTGGACATAGCCCAGAAAAGGCAATTTAATTAAATAAAGAAAAATAGAAGATATAGGTTCACACAAAATCCAAAAAGAAAACATTAGTGGCTGTTAAGCTTTTAAACAACCTTCATGGGCTGAAGTGTGGATGTTCTTTAGGAGAAAAATGTAGTTCACCAAAGAGTGGAAAGGTTTCAGGAATGCATGAGCAACTGGGATTTCACAGTACTGGAGCAGATTTTGCTGTCATCACCTCAGCAGAATGAGGCAGGCAGGTTAAGGAAGTCAGTTACAGCTACCTCCTGAATTCTGTAATCTGTAATATATGGTAGTATCTGTAATGGCATCAATGATACTCAGCTGGCTTCATGGGAAATCCTTTGGAAAACCTCTCTGTTTCCTTCACCTTTTGAAAGTTTAGGGGAGACATTTCCATTGCTAACCCCCAATCTTTGAGTACTGGCCAGGTTTACAACATAAAGGGAGTCACAATGAACTTCAGGTCACAGGAATAAACCACTAATCCCAGGGTCTTGAACACCACCCTGGTATCAGCTAATGTCCCTGTAGGAGCTAGTGGAGAAAAAGCAGTTGTCTTTTAGATGCTGTCTTAAGTGGGAAGCTGCTTTCTCATATGACACAAAATTTAAACAAACCGTTTGCTCTGCACTGCAGCTGAAAGCTTTGTGCCCTTATCATACGCTTAGCTTTTCAAACGTGCCCCGAAAATGCTTTCAGAGCCCAGCTGGGGGAGCTCCTGCCACGTACATGACCTTAGAGCCTACTGGACACACCTACCTTTCTCTGGGTCCGGCAAGCTGCTATTCACGTGCTCCACTGCTCGGTCCACTTCCTTGCTATCACAGACGTTGAGCTGGACTGTTCTCATTCGATCACTGTTCATGTTGTCCAGTTCCTTGGAGCCACCACCTCCCTTGTCCTAGAGGGGAAAAAAGCACTGGTTTCGATCCAGCCAAAGGGCTTGTACAGAATATCAAATGCACAGCAATCATCAAATCAAACAAAGGAGAGTGCACAGGGCAGTCACTGAGAAATCAGTTCTGCAGCTGACAGACAGGACTGCTCCCCCAGAACACCATTCCTGGAGCCTCTCTGTCTGGCCATAAGCCCTGCCACCAAGTCGGTTGGTAAAAAAATGCTTTGACCACCAAGAAAGCAACCAAAGCTGTATCAACCCCAGCAAGACAACTCCTGCCCAGTACAAGTTTTTGAGACCAAGCTATGTCCCACTGCTCCAGCGGTGGGAATGTGGTGCTGTCCTCACTTTGGCTTGCATATGGGGCCCAGCAAATAGCTTGGCTGCACATTAACGTTGCGTGTGCTTCTCAGTTGCCTTGCCAGCTCTGGGAACAACAGTCCTGGGAGAGGGACTGCCTACCCACTGCTCTCTGCAGCTAATCTATGCACACAGCTACCTGCTGCCTCCAACAGACTCCTACAGAGTCTGATCATCATGTGCCTGGTCAGCTTGCCTGCTAGCAATTCCTGCTAGCATCTTGCTCTTTTCTTTGTCTTCCCTCATGAGCTTTTTCTCACTCCCATTTCCCATCTCTACTCTTTTTATCTCAGCTCAAAACAACAGATTACCCCAGCATACATATATATCCACTCACAGCTCTGCAACACAACTGCAGCTAACGCCCTGAGATACCTCCCACGTGGGCCAGACACTGTTAGTAACAGGACTGCCATGCCCAGAGCTACTCCCTTCACAGCAGTGAAGCCTGGATATGGTGCTTCCAGGAAACAGACATGGGATACTGCTGTGAGTTTGAGACTATCCCTGAATCTCTCCCATGGTTACAAGCAACTGGACTTTGCTGGCCACTCCAGGGTACTTTTGCAGAGGATGGTGAGAGGTTGCTCTGAAAATAATAACTTTTTGGGAACATCCATGTCTTTACTGTAAGAAACCCCCTCTGTCTCCTCAATATCATCCCTCACTGTAAGTATTTTACTCCGCATTAACAGACTAGACATGGAACATATTCCACAGGATCATCTGACAGCTGCTCAGCTCTTCTTCCCCAACCATTCAACCCTCCAGGTAGTCCTGCTCACTGTGTCAGCATCAGCAGGCAAGCATCAGGATGCTCTTCACTCCTGAGCTTTTACAAGGCAGGTGTGATAGATGAATAGATAGCTTTTTCCTCTGATCTGAACCAGGTCAGTTCTTCATGGCAGGGCTGTTTCCTGACTGCTGAGTGACATCAGCTTGTTCTAAACACCTTGAGTCACAGCCAATCCCTGTCAAAGACTGGCAGCAGTCAGCTGTCAATGAGATGTTGCTCATCTCTGCAGTCTGAACTCAGGCTGCCCATCTGCTTCACTCACCCCCTCCCCCAAGCAAAAGTTCCCTTCAGATACCTTGCTTTAGATACCACACAAAGGTGGTCATATATCCCTCTGTCTCTGTGCTACCTGTCTTCAAAAAACTTTATCCTGGCTCCTCTCATTCCTGGGTTTATCCACTGTGCTCAAAGACTGTTGACTAACTTAAGTACCTGACATCTCACATCATCTTCTCCACCCATCCTTATTCTACAGCCCTTTCAATACTGGTTAGTGTTTGTCCTTAAGAGAAGCATGTACTGCATTCTCTTCACACAGAAGCATATTGCATACAAAATGGAGCAGTTAAAAGTACCGTGCACAGCTTAGTGGTATTCATTCTTAGAGTGACTGAAAATAGAGCTTTGTGCTAAGTTTGCTGCTCACTCAAAAGCACTGTCGTGCTGAAGCCAGTGTACACTGCAAAGCATTGAAAAGCATACAAGTGGCGCATGTGGGAATGCCAACAGGGAATCAGCAAATGCAAGCATGCAAGTCCCTTGGAAACAGCAGATACAGCTAAAGGGAAGAGGAAGAACAATCATGCCCAGGTGCTTCTTTAGAATAATAGAATCATTAAGGTTGGAAAAGACCTTCAAGATCATTAAGTTCAACTGTCTTTCCTTGATCCCAGGTCTGTGAGACGCTACAAAATCTCTGGGCCAATGCCACACAGCAGCCTCAGAGGCCTCATAAGCTCTACTGGGACCTTCACAGTGTTCTCTTCTTCCTTCCTTATAGGGGCTGGCTCAGCAAGCCAACGTCCCTCCTGCCCTCCTACCTACAGGCAGGTGGGTGCTTGGATCTTTGGGGCTGCAATCCTGGCCAAGAGTTGGATCCTGGGTATTAAACCAGAACTACATGGCCATTTCCTTGGCTCTTCAGAAAGAGTAGATTGGTGGTGCTTAAGTCAGGCACCCTATGATTGTGTCATGTCTCCTGTCATGGGATGGAGCCCATCCCACAAGCCCCAGGCCCACAGGCAGCAGTGGAAGGAGCATCTCAAGCTTCACCAAGAGACCGCTAAATATCTGCTGTCATCCCCAGGGTCCACTGTCCCCACGGCAAGAAAAGCCAGCTCTTGCAGACTGAAAAAGCACACCACTACTTCATCTTCCTCTTCCCATGGTCACCCCCTGGGGCCCAAGGGCTTCAGCTTCTATCTTTATCAGTGTGTCCTTGAAGTTGTATGTAACCCTGATGCTCTAGGCACTCTTTGTTGAGCCCTACAGTAGCTGTCCTCCATGCTGGCTTGCTCAGATAACCTCTGCTTCTCATCCCCCTTGCAAGCTTCAACAGGCTTGAGCACACAAAGCAAAGCAAACAAGGATTCTGCCACACTCCTGATGGCCGTGACAAACATCACATATGTCCACTGGTAACAGATACTGATGGAAAAAGACCTTCTGCATCTTGTGTCAGCTGGCTCCTCCAGTTATTAACCAAAGAGGAAAAATTAAGACAGCTGCAGCATGATCGTTCACTGGATCCAGTCTACCACTGCCTTTTGGCAACGGAGCATCAACACAACTCTCTTATGAATATATTTGCCAGTGAAAATGTTAGGAAGAATATGCATGTGAAATAGGACACAACACAGATCTGTCCTTAGGCTTCCTTCAACTGGGATTCTCAACACCTCACTCAGGTTTCCTTCAGTAAAAATAGACACTCAGGAACCTGCCACCTTTTCTGATGAAGAGCCAGCACAGCACACACTTTTAAACTGCAATCAGGATGTGACATTCCTAAGAACAGGGCATACCCTGAGGATACAATGGCTTCCCAAGCTGCAGGATGCTTCTGATGTGCAGGTGTGCTGTGAAAAACAGTCCCATGAAAATAACCCTGAAGTTTCACAGTCATTTCCTCTCTGCCGGGGTTAGGTCAAATATACCCAACCAAAAGATGATGCTTCTTATTTCTACCTCCACTTCCTCTATCATCTAAAAACACACCAGGCTTTTTCTGCCCCTAAAATCAGCACGAGCAGTAACTACACTTTGATCAGAATTCTGCTTATGGTTTTGCTAGTGAAACCTGTGGCACAATGAGAAATGAGCTCAGCCTCCTGGAGTTGCTTTAGTTCTACAGAGCAGTTCTGCATTAAATATATGCCCTGAAGACACACAGGAGGCCAACCTGATAACTTACAGAGCTTTGGCATTGACAATGTTTTTCTGATGACTGCTGTTACCAGTCTTGCCACAGTCACACATTTTGGAACATGGGATGTGAGTCCAGCTAAAGAAGCAATATTTAATTACACAGTGATACAGCAAAGCTTTCTGCTGGTTTTTGTTGAGGAAATAAATATGGCTCAAAAGAGTGCTGGCATGCTGCTGCATGTCAGCTTGTGCTAAAATTGTCAGAGGCCAAGATTTTCCACAAACATGCATTCAGTAGAAGGGAGGTTTCAGTAACAGCTGAAGACATCCTCACTAAAAATCGGGTCTTGCTGGCAGTTCAGACAGAGGAAGTGAAACCCAGAATTAACTTTGCAACTCTGAAATTTTAGGCTCCTGTTAAGAAAGATGCAGTGCATCATTCTAAACATGGTTTTTAAGTCTGCCACGTTCTTATATCCTCTACTGTCTATCTTCAGTTACAAAAGCTGAGTAGACACATCTGCCAAAAAAGTACCTATCTACTCTCTCCCTTCTTGATACCTTTTGAAAAGCAGCTGTTTCTAAGTGTCTTGTTCTGCTGCAGAGCCTGTAGAGGGAGCTCAGGTTAAGAAACAGAACCTTGACCCAAAGCTGAGACACCACAAAGAACAGAGCTATAGAAATAAACTTCTCTTTTGAAAAAATGCAGCAGAAAGAACTAACAATTTAAGTAAAATTTATTAATAATGGAAAAATGAACAGCAGAAAAGAGTATTGATAAGATTAAAAAACACCAGGCAAATTTTCTTTGAATGACTATTCAAGATTCATGTATAGTTATGTGAGAGCTAAAAGATTAGGATCAAAATAAGTGACCCACCCCAGGATATCCTGAGGAGCAGGCTTGTTTCTGTTGGGAAATGGTCATGCAGCTAAAAAAGTGCAGTGCTTCACAAGGAGAGAGAGGCTCCTGTTCTCCACAACCAGCCATCTCTGACTGACTCACAGAGATTCCTACAGTCTATCAAAACTGCATCATTAAGCTATTTGTGGCCTGATTTGGCTCTTATTTGCACTAGTGCAACTCTTACCACCTTCACTGCCATTTCAGGAGACCCTCAACACACACTTAGGTACAGCTGTACTCAAGAATATATTAAAATATGCTTATACCACATGCCATAAAATCACTGCAGGCTTGGTGTATGTTACAATAATCAAAACAAACGCTGCATCAGTATGTATAGTCTGAGAGTAGGGCCAAAGATTCAGACTCAACCTATCCCAAAATTTGCTTGTGGATAAGCCTATAAAATTAGAGTCAGGCTTCCAGTTCATCAGTTCTGGAACAGACCACAACAATGAGATTCAAGTAAGAACTTCCATGAACACTGTTCAGCCCTGGTTCTGGTCTAGAGCAGATTATACTCCATGAAATTCTAGCACACATGTCCTTCCCTTTGGGCTACTAAAGACCCTCAGTCTCCTTAGCAGAAAGGTGTGCAGAGTGGAGAGGGAAGACTGGATTTCCTACATGTCTGTGCATGTGCCATGGTGAAGAATATAGCGAAGAATAGTGTTTTGTTTCCCCTACCTTTTGCAGGCAGCCAGCGTAAATAATGAAGCCCTTGGTATGCAGGTGCTTCGCCAAAGCAAATCCAAACCCTGAGTCACAACCTGTTATAAGCACAGCTTTGCTGCCAATCTGCAAAACAAAACAGAACAAAATGCACTGGAAATGAGTATTTGAAATCTGTGATCTGCAGTGCACAGAACAAAATCATGTCCTTGGCCAGGAGCAGTCTGTTCCAGGGATATTCTCTACACTCCCTGCCAGCTGCTGCCACCCAGTGCCTCTTGAAGACAAGAAACAAAGGTTTCACTCTGAGTTCACTCCAGTGAGGTAGGATCACTGTCCTCCCAACACAAAGAGAAGTCTGGTATCTTGGGCAAGAAGCTTCCAAGGCAAAGAGACCAAGCAAACCACCATTCTCTCGCAGTTCACATCCACCTTGAAATCCGAAAATATACCAGACAGTTCTCAAGAAATGTTTTCCCTTCAGTAGGAACTGTTCCTATATGTTCAAAGCAGGCAGGAGTCCACTCTTCTGTGCCATGCAGCAGTCCATAAGCTTGACTGCAGAAAGGTCATGGGTTAACCCTCCTGACTGCTCACTCCTCTTTCTCTCTTTCTAGTATGTAAACCCTCTAGTGCTGGGGTTTAAAAGCTAAGTAGAATCAATTTGGTTTAACATTTGAAATTAAGGCCAGTTGGCCAGTCTTTTTGTTTGGTTGTTTTTTGCTCTTCTTATTTTTACAACTTAAAAATTAAATAGAAGTACACCGCTCT